AAAATAAAATGTACCAACACAATTATAAAACATTTTGGTCAGAGAAGTGCAAAGTCTACTTACTGAAAAGGTTCTGGACTGTCAGGGTGCCTGAGACTCTGGTCAGTAGAGCCTTGGCTCATCACACTGGGTGTATAGCTTTGTCCAGTAGATGGACCTACTAGTGGACCACAAAAGGTGCATGGAGAGACACTCTGTCTTGCTAGCCGGGACCCTGCAGGTGAAAGATACTGATACAGACAGCTGAAGGAACAGCTGGCAGCCTGACCCTCATCAAGAAAACTGTACAGTGCTGTAATTTGGGTTATGTCATAGATATTAGAATACACAGTAGGAACTGAGGGCTCCAGCCTCTCCAACTGAAGTTCCTGCACTTGGAAATCAACTGTGGGACCCTCTGGGACGTCAACGTCCTCTGATGAGTTAGAGGAACCTATGGACTCATATGAAAGGGGGCTATCATTATTTAAAAACACACAAGTAAGACGGGAGGGTCTGTTGGATACTCTGAGTGAGGAGGGCATACTCTCCTGGCTTGGTTGTTCTAGCAACTGCTCGCCCTGCCTGTGTGGCTCTTCATCCTGCCTGTGTGGCTCTTCATCCTGCCTGTGTGGCTCTTCATCCTGCCTTCGTGGCTCTTCCTGCTTTTGCTGCTGCTTCATTTTGAACCGCCTGTTCCTGAACCAAGCCTAGAGTGGTGCAGAGAGATACTGTGGTCAGCAGAGAAAGCATTTGAGGCTTCTTGGGGCAGAAAGCAATCAGACTGTAGCCCTCATGACCTCTTGAAGCCACCATAACACTGATTCTGAGACAGCAGAGTGGGGCATAAGTGGAGTCAATAGGAGGGACCATGAGGGTCAGGCCTGGGAGCCCAGAGAAGGCAGAATGAAAAACATCCTGCATCTCACAGGTTGTGCTGGGGGTTCTGGGAAGGATCTGTGAACTCTACAGAAGGGCTAGGAGATCTGGAGAGAAAGGAGGCATTTGAATTAGGGATTTTCTTTTTTTTAGTACTGGGGACTGAGTTGCAATCTTTCATACCCCCAAAGCCCCCCTGAGCCTTTCTGAGACAGGTTTCACTAAGTCACTACATTGCCCAGGTTGGGCTTGAATTCATGATCCTCCTGTCAGCTTTCCAGAGGGCTGGGATTATAGACATGTGCCACAACATGCAGCTTGAAAATGAACTAAGATTCCTGAGGATTATTTCAGGAAGCCTGAATTATGAAGGCTACTCCACCGAAAATGGTATGGGTCCTGTAGACCCAGCGATCAGAGGGAAGAGTACTTGTCTGCTGGTAGTGCTGTGAACAAGCAAACTGCAATGACTGCTAGAGAAGTGTTAAGAGGAAGACTGCTAGCTGGACTGCAAGGCACACAACTACAGTTGCAGCTACTCAGGAGGCTGAAGCAGGAGGATCTCACATTCCAGGCAAGCCTAGGCAGCAATTTAGCTAGATTCTG